AGCCATCCAAACTCCAACCAACACAAGAGCTGACCTCTTGAACCTTCAGATACAACCACCTTCTCCCCTGTGACAATTTAAATGCCACCTTTCTTCCACTTGGATAAAAATAAAGAAAAAAATGTGTAAGTGTGTGTTTCTGTGTGTGTGTGTATGTGTGTCTGGGACTTGCAACTTGATAGCACAACAAAAGAGCTGTGGTGGCAAGTCCCCGCGCAGACATTATATGTCAGCATCACCGTCATACTGTTAGCTGTCCCAACTGTACAAAGCCATCCTCATTCAGGGCACCAAACCAAGGTCAGCCTGGATTAGCCGTTAGTAACCCTATCAGGTCCAGCACAATGATTACAAAGCCCAGTGACACTGGCTGTCAGCAGACTCTTTCTAGGCAACCCTATCTGGCCGACCCTTGGCTGCCGAGCCACCGGAGAGGGTTAGTTCATTTCAAATTGTTTCCCCTTTGTGTCTCCTTTTATTTCCCGCGTTTGATTTTAGGCGACTCATTTCGTTCATCAATCAGCCCGCATAGATATCTGCGTGTTTGAAACCCATGCTGCACATAATTCCTATAATTTGTGCATTTTTTGTCTGTCTTCCAATTCCACATAGCTCGTCCTTTATGCCTGTTCCTTCTGAAACCAATAGCCATCCCACCTAAATTCCCCAACCCTTCACCCTGCTGATGAATGAAGTCTTATCGCCTCATGTTAATGAACTTATAAAACTACTATGATCTTTTGATCTAACTCTTTATGCTCTGTATTCTGAAATGGTAAGACTTGAATTTGTTGTAAATTGTCCGTATGTTGTGTTGTGGTACAATGGCTGAGTGAAAATGGTTTGTACAGTAATATGAATCAGGACGCCGGTGCATTGCCCTCCTTGTCTCACCAATTCAGACAACATGTCAGAATAAAGCAAAGCAGAAACACTCTTGTTTCACTACAAGTGTTGTTGTTGTTTCCCTCCTTTTTTTTGTATCCATGAGAAATTACACTTCAAGCCCATCCATTTTACCGCTTCGCTTTTCTCCCTTAGAACCATTTTTCCCCCAACGTCCATGTCTGTTAGCATGTTAAACAAATCAAACCTAAAGAAAGAGCTCTCTTGTGATGTAAAAGAAGAGAAAAAAATAAAAAAATCAAGCTACATAAACAAGAACAACAGCAACCAGAGCGCTAGCAGCATAGTGTATTTGAAGCGATGTGGCAACCGATGTTCTCCACTCCAGCACATCAGAGGCGCTCCTGCTTCAGTCACCCTGAAGGTACCGGTTACAAAGTGATGGGGCTTAGGGTTTTTAACTCGGGGCGAAGGGCCTGATTTCAAACCCCCCTCTGCTGCCAAGCACATGGACGGCTGCTGATTAGAGCAGGGCTGGCAGCAGTGGGCAGATGCCAGGCGGGAAGAGAGATGACGGCCTGTCGCCAGTCTGCCACCCAGCTCCTCACCCTGCTAGTCCACCCCCCCCCCCCCCCCCCCGCGTTTACATGCTGCTCCACTTGAGCGATTCTCATCTATGCTAAGCCAAATGCAGAGCACAAATTTCATTGTTGTTTAGGAATATGTATTGATGACAAATAAAGTACATTTACATTGTTTTTACATTTATACTGGCATCGATACACCCACCCCTAAAGCTAACTAAAGACATGAATCCAAAAACTCAAGTAAACCGAATCGTAAAACTCACATGACAGTAAACAAACAATCAAGAAAAACATATTTTTAAAGCAGATCATGGCAGCAGNATTTTATGCTGTTTTTTTTTTCCTCTAAACTGATCTCTGGAGTGTTTGATTTGTTTTGATCACATGAAGCCAAAGTCAGCAACAAGCAAAGTAGCACAATAAAAGATCACAATACAATTTTTGTGTCTACTTTTCTCGCAAAAACACAAGGCAGCTGAACATGTGCGAGCTGCACTGAGTGCAAGTTTGAAATACTAAAGCATTTCTTTGTCAGCCTGCAGAGAATAAAACGCCGAGCCCCTTTGGGAGCTTCCGTATTCAAGAGAGTCAACATGATTGGAGCAGAAGAGCACGCGACAACTCCAGCAATGCAAGATTACCGTAGATGAGCAATAACAAGTACAACATCTCAATGTAAAATCTCTTAAATGTGTCCAAAAGAGATGAACCACAAGACAATAACAGCTTGGGAAAGAAAACAAACTTATTGCACAGTTTGTGAAAGTAACAGTTCTTGGAAGCTGAGCTTGTTTACTCTAAACAGACGAGCTCAGACTTCAATCCCTCTGTTGCACTTATGACTGCATTGATTTTTTTTCCCTACGATAAATAAACACATAGCTTTTTATTTATCTACTTGTCCTGCACTTGTAAGATGGCAAGTTCTCAAAAGTGCTTTAAATCATACGGAATCGCTGAAAACTTGTGTTTTCTTTTATGCTGTAGATCTCATTTTCTGCTTTCACTTATTCCTATACATTGTTGCTTTGTATTTTTGTTTTTGCAATATTTTATTAGACATAAAGCACTTTGTAACTTAGGTTTTAAAATGTGCTATATAAATATTATGCACCTAATTATTACAGAACTGCAGAACAACAAGAATGGCTTGCTTTATATTTACTCCATTAACTCAGTGACTGAAAAATGCTCATACGAACTTTTTCCCCCTATTCAAATCATAATTGATAAACTGCAGAAAAAACAAACTTTTTTGAATATCAGAAAGCTCCACATCTTTTTCCTGTGTCTGCTTCTCTGTCTAACCTGAGGCTTTTCTGTCTCTCTGCATCTGTCTGCTTTACTGTCTGCTCTATTTATTCTTTCTTTCTGCCAGTCTCTTCACTCCCATCTTCTGGATCTCAAATGAGCTAAAATATATTTGGAGGTGCGGTCTGTCTGGCCCATTTTGCACAACTCTGGAGTTTAACACGCACACACACACACATGTTTGTTTCTCGACCCCGTGGGGACCTTCCATTGACTTTCATTCATGTTTTTAGACTTTATAGCCTAACCCTGACCATATACTCTAAAATTAACCTCACAGAAACTTACCTGACCCAAAAACTAACCTAAACCTTGGTCCTAAATCCAACCCCACACCTGTAACATGCATTTGGACCCGTGGGGACCTGACATTGGTCCCCACGATTCACTTCGGTCCCCACCTGACTGCTTTTTTTTTGTAAAAAATACCCCACATTGCAGGAAAAACCCGTCCACACACACACACACACACACACACACACACACACACACACACACCCTTATGCACACATCTCTAATTGTCCAACAGGTGCACAATTTCCTCATACACTCACATTTACAATTTTACATGCCCATGCATACACACTCTCTATTATACATGTTTACACTTATGTAGACTTCTTTACAGACAAGTCAAAATCTCACTCAGTGGTACAGCAGAGATATTAAACCATTGGCATGTGTGTGTAGAGGAGACAGTGCCCCCTGGTGTGGAACCCCCAGTACTCCCACTCATCCATATCTTCATCCAATCTATTTTAGGTGGGTTCATTTACTCTTCTGGGATTGATTAGTTCTGCCTGAAACAAGAAAGAACCAACATGTGTTGGTCTGAAAATACTAAAAAATTGTCTGGAAAACATGCAAACCGTTAAACTATATGATAAACACCCTAAAGAAAAGATGCAAAACTTTTTTTTGAACTGGAAATGATAAAGTAATAGTGTCTACAATTAATATTCACTCATAAAATCCACCATATTCTGGTGTTTTTATTGAAAATGTCAGCAAGACACAGCCATGCCTTTAACTAATTTGTGTTGGGGAGATTAGTTTTCTTTAGAAATTGGCTATTTAGTTGTATTAAACACACTAATAAAACTTTTGCTTCCCATTTGTGCAAGTACAATTGCTTTTCCATTTACTAATACAACAAGACTGTTGGTCTGTTTAGTTCTATCAAGTTTAAATCTGTGTTTAGGATATAACAAAAAACGTTATAATTTGCTACTTTCTAATACAATTCCTTCATATTGTTTATTTTAAAGGGATTCAAATACACAGATGTAATAAATATGTGCTACCAGCAGGCTTCAGATAATCAGATCACCCTGCTTCTTTTTATAACACAGCTTAATTATGTTTTGTTATTTATTGACATTACAGCACATGCTAACAGGCGTTATAAATAACAGCATGTATTAAATTGTTGTGGCGCCGCTATTATCCAGACCACACTGCATGGAAATAATGGGAAGCATCTTAATGGATGAGCCATTCATTTGGAGAAATGCTGACAATGAAGACCGCTGCCTCTCCTGCCAGCGCGCAGGCGTTTTAAAGCTCTCACCTCACGCCATCGCACCTGTTTTCATTAACTTGTGAGACCACCCCCCCAACTTTAAAATCTCGTCCTGAGACAGTCAAGACGTGCACAAACACTGACAGGTGAGCGCACAAGTGTCAAGTCCCAAGCGCGCGCGCGCCTAGGCAATCAAGTGCTTGCGGTTAACTTGGTGTCTGCCCCTCATAAAGCGATAATTACCCACCACCAACAGCTTTATTGCCAGTGATGAATGGAAGTGTAGTAACAAGGGATGAGCGGAGTTCACGTGCGCGCTAAGTGGTGGGATTTAAACAGAAAGAAAGAAAGAAAGAAAGAAAGAAAGAAAGAAAGAAAGAAAGAAAGAAAGAAAGAAAGAAAGAAAGAAAGAAAGAAAGAGAAAGCAGAGTGACGCCTCCCGCAGGCCAGAGCGCGCTCGACCAGAGCTAAGAGAGAGGGTTGGAGTGGGCGCGCGCACGCTGATCGGTGGCCGTCATTCTTGGATGGCGACTATGTGCTGGCGTGCGAGGGAGCAGACGACCAACTGCGCGTGCGGAGAGTCGATTCGGTCTCCTCTAGTTGGAGTGCGAGGAAGTTTAGAGGGGGAATAAGATATTTGACTTTGCGCTGTTGTCATATCATGCCCTGTAAAAAAAAAAAAAAAAAAAAAAAAAAAAACTAAACGCTGTCTGTTGTATTGTAAAAAAAAAAAAAAAAAAAAGAGACATACTGTCCAAAATGGAATGCAGGATTGCCCGTGAAAACACAAACTTGTAAATCTTCACCAAGTCAAAATAAACAGGTTACGCTTTTGACTGGATTATATCAACTTCATGATTCCGCGCAACCAACAGAAGAGGAAGGAATGCGAGTTCTCTCAAGTTCGAGTCTTTCTAGTGTTGGTTTTGTTCCGAGGCTCCATTTCTATCAGGCACAAAGGGGGCGGGATGGGATATTCAGATGAGCCGGAGTGACAGCTCCAGTTTCCCCCAATGCTGTGTGTGTGTATGTGTGCGTGTGTGTGTGAGTGTGTGTGTCTGAAACTCAACTGCTTCCCTTCCCTCCCAACTCCTCACTTCATAGTGCCGCGCACTAAAAACATCGGACGCTAGGGGATCAAGACGCATGCCACATTACCTCTATGTGGCCACTTTAACAGATCTTTCGGGGGGCTTTTTTTCCCAGTAAGGGGGCTGCGGAGGGAGGCCCTTTTTATTTTTTTACTGTTCGATGACTGTTTGCACGGCTGACTGTTGAGTTGATTGTTTATATTTAATCCCTTGTTGTCCGCCGCCTTGTGCGTTTTTTTTTCTGTTTTTTTTTTTTTCCTTTTCTTTTCTTTTGGTTTGAAAACGGCGACCTATTACGCGCCCGCCAATGTCCTATCCTCAGGGTTACCTCTACCAGCCCCCGGGCTCTCTGGCTCTTTATTCGTGTCCGGCTTACGGGGCCTCGGCTCTGGCTGCTCCGCGGAATGACGAGTTGGCGAGGTCGTCCTCTGGCTCAGCCTTCAGCCCGTACCCCGGCTCGGCTGCTTTCTCCGCCTCGGCTGCTGGCGCAGGCTTCTCCAGTCCACTGCCATACACCGCGGATCCTTCCACGGGATTCCCACCTTACATGGTAAAAAAAAAAGCTCATGCCTGTTTTTGTTTTTAATTACTTTATTTTAAAAAAAACGGTGCAGTTGTGTGTGAAGTGTATGTGCGCAAATTATAGTTGCTTGCCTGTATTTTCCGAGGCGGTTGAGCTGGTTTTCAGTGTTTTTGTTTGTGTAATCGCTGATAAGTGCTGTGTGTTTACATCGAGTGGACCCCTGCTTTACTTTAAAGTCCTTCACCCGAATGGGAATTTTCTGCCTGAGCTGATAATTAGTGGGTTGACCAGCGCTTCCAAGTCGCTGCGCAGCGCATTCCACAATTCCACAAAAACACATGTTCAAACACTCCTAAAGTGCGAATTATAATTTTATTATATGCATAGAAAATATGCAAAAAAAATAATACAAAACGTTCTTTTCTCTTTCTTATTTATCTTTTTTTCTCATTAAAATCCCAAGAGGGAGGG